CTCCTTCCACACTTCTCTTCCTCTCTCTCAGCGGGTACCAGCTCCGATACCAGTGCAATCAGACTCGACTTATTCACACTTTTCGTGCACGTGAACAGCAGCACACAACTGGCGACTTGCGCCCACAGTACACAGAGATATGTCTTCCAGGTAAGTTCGCTTCCTCTGGCTATGGCGACTGTGCGCCTCAAACACTCACTGTTCACACTCTGGATCACCCTGGATGTCCCACACTCGATACCCAGTACACACACAGTACACACAGTACACACACTCTTCCCCTAAGCTACAGCTATGGCAGCTATGGTCGCCGCTACCCTACTGCTATGGCTACCGTATGTCACTCTCGCCCTCTTCGACTTCGGGCCTTCTGCAGACCTCCTCGCACAAGCTGCTGAGGCAGCGCTTCCGCATGGCTTCCGCAGGAATGAATAATGACTGGACGCAGCCTCTTCATTTATACTTCTGCGCTGCGTTGGTCTGCCCTGTGTCCCTTGGCCCCTGGTGCACACAGTCCCAGACGGTACTTGCTGGACAGGACCGGACTGCCTAACAGGGACTGTTGACTCAGCAAGGTGGCCTACCACCACTTGACCACTTGCCTCTGTTCAACGCAGGCTCACTCCGAAAGGCCACTTCTAGAAACCTCTAACTTGGCCTTTCGGTACTGTAGCAGCTACGACTTTGCCCCTTCAGGTAAGTAGCAGCTACGACCTTGACCCTTCAGACATCCTACAACTACGACTTCGGAACTGTCTAGACTCCTACCCTACAGGTCTACAGTTCGATTCCCTTCTACCCTGTGACCTACGAAAACCTACCTACCACTAGCGGTCCTACAGGTCGCAGGTTCAAATCTACGGGTTGACACTGGTACTTTACACAGGTAAGACGGGGAACTAGGGATCGAGCCCTTGGATCTGCATTCGCTACTGCGAACTGGTGAATACCGTTTCAAAACAAAACATCCTCGCGTGAAAATCTCAACTCTTTGTGTGTACTGTGGAAACTTGGAAAGTGACCTCACTGTAGCATGAAAAAGAACGTGGACGGTATTCCTGGCTCTGTGCATTCAAAGGAAACAAGTATCCTCCCACGCACGTCAAAGCGTCCTCCCATCTCTGTCAGAGTGTCCTCCCACCACGAGGGGAGGTGGAGGAGGTAATGATGTCTCAATGTCCGTAGAAATATAGCTAACCCCCATGTCCGTAGAACTATAGCTAACCCCCGTGGAGTGGGTGAGCTACCTTCTTCCCCTGAATACAACGTACAGTCATTATAACTGTATTTGACACATCTTTCAGTCTAGATACAGCTATAATGAGCGTACGTTCTATTTGGGGGAAGACGGTAGTTCCACTGAAAGGGGGAGGGTAGGGGGCGTTCTTATTGAGATTTTCCGATTGAATGTTAATTTTCGCAGAGGGAAATACAACTGAAAATGCTTTCCTAAAAACCCACCGATGGATGCACAGCTTTCTCTCCGATTGTAGCAGGCACCCAACGTCACTCGTGATTGAGACCTCAACGTTGTGTTAGCTCTACCGTGCGCAGGTGGGACATGGCCCCCGGTCAGTTCGACGATGATATCTCAAGGCCGCCGCCCTTTATAAAAAAAGGAGGGGAAAAAAAAAATCAGAAACACACAATGCAGACAGGAAAACAAATAAAAATAAAAAGCCAGCCTCACAAGGGCCCTAACCCTACAGATCGAAAAGAAGAAAAAAGAGTCAAAGGAACCCTTAAAAAAAAGTTAAAAAAACAGAAGAAAGCCACTCTCACAAGGACCTTAACCCTACAGATCGAAAAGAGGAAAAAAGAGTCAAGGGAACCCTTCAAAAAAAAAAAAGAAAAAAAAGAAAGCCAGCCTCACAAGGGCCCTAACCCTAAAAACCCAAAACCCTAAAACCCTGGTGATGGGAAGGTAAGAAACCAGGATGGGACCCCCTCACCGTCCCATTGACTAACAACACCACGAACCTGGAGAGCTCACTGTTTGATACACTGCACAAAAACCTCGTCAGACAAGGACTGACAACATTCCGTCGTCAGATCGCACTCAGCACTGTCAGCAGACTGAGCGTAAGCCGCGCACAATTTTATTCCAGAAGGCTGGCATTGGGGCATACTCACTCACACTAGGACTTTTTTCTACTCATCCTGCTGGGCGGAATTACAGTCAGATGCACACCCTCGCCGGGTCATAACTGCTGTCAGATTCATCCTGCCCTTTTTTTTTTTTTTTTTTTTTTTTTTCAAAACCCGCTCCATCTATTGGTGGGGAGTTGCACCTGCTGGAAACCGGGTCCAGCGTCCCTTATATACAAAAGTTAGCGAAATGGTGACTGAAAACTGGGCCTCTTCACCCAATCAAGGGGCCAGATGATCAGATTCATCCCGCCCTTAGTTGAGGGGGGGGGTTTTCACTTAGTTGCTGGGCTACCAGACCCGCACGGGCCCGGGTGCAACCGGGCCCAGGTAGGTCTGGGCCATTCACCCAGGTGACCTGGGCAAGTAAAAAAAAACGGTCAAAAAGAAAAATGGGGGGGGGGGGGGGGTRGGGGGGKGGTGCAAGGGTTCGGGAAGGGGAACCAGCTTGCTTCCTCTCCTGTTTTCGTTCTTCTTCTTCTTCTTCTTTTCTTCTTCTTCTTCTTCTTCTTCTTCTTCGTCGTCCTCTTCTTCATCCTCTTCTTCTTCCTCCCTCCTATTTTCGTCCTTCTTCTTCTTCGTCACCTCTTCTTCTTCTTCTTCTTCTTCGTCGGCGGCGGCGGCGGCAGCTGCGTCGTCTTCTTTGTCCTCTTCTTCTTCCTCCCCTCTTCTTGCTCTTCTTCTTCTTCTTCTTCTTCTTCTTCTTCTTCTTCCTCTTCCTCTTCTTCTTCCCCCCATCCCTTCTTCTTCTTCTTCCCCTCCTGTTTTCCTTCTTCTTCTTCTTCTTCTTCTTCTTCTTCTTCTTCTTCTTTTTCTTCTTTTTCTTCTTCTTCTTCTTCGTCGTCGTCATCGTCTTCTTTGTCCTCTTCTTCATCCTCCCCTCTTCTTCTTCTTCTTCTTTGTCACCTCTTCTTCTTCTTCTTCCCCTGCTGTTTTCCTTCTTCTTCTTCTTCTTCTTCTTCTTCCTCTTCTTCTTCTTCTTCTTCTTCTTCTTCTTCGTCTTCTTCTTCTTCTTCCTCCCTCCTCTTTTCGTCCTCCTCCTTCTTCTTCTTCTTTCCCTCCTGTTGCCCGACGCTCCCGCTTGACCTTCTCACCCGACCCTCCTACCCTTGCCCCCGCCCGACATTCCCTCCCGCCTGACCTTTTCCCCTCCCGCCCATCCTGGCCTTTCCCCCGTCCTGACCTTTCCCCTGACCTTTCCCCCAACTATCCCACCCGCCCATCCCGACCTTTCCCCCAACTATCCCACCCGACCATCCCGGCCTTTCCCCGACCCTATCCCACCCGCCCACCCCGCTCGACCCTCCCACACGACATTCCTGCCCTACCCCCCGACCCTCCATCCCGACCCTCCTACCCCACCCTAAGGAGGAGGAGGAGGAGGAGGAGGAGGAGAAGAAGAACCAGAAGAAGAAGCAGAAGAAGAAGCAGGCGGAGGAGGAGAAGGAGGAGGAGGAGGAGGAGGAGCAGGAGCAGGAGGAGGCGAGAGGAGCAGCAGGAGGCGGACGACGAGGAAGAAGAAGACGAGGAAGAAGAAGATGACGACGAGGAAGAAGACGACGATGAGGAAGAAGACGAAGAAGAAGACGACGACGACGACGACGAAGAAGAAGAAGAAGAAGAAGAAGAAGAAGAAGAAGAAGAAGAAGAAGAAGAAGAAGAAGAAGAAGACAAAGATGAAGAAGACGACGAAGGAGGAGGAGGAGGAGGCTCCTAACCCACCCTGACGACGAGAGGAGGAGGAGCAGCAGGAGCAGGAGGAGGAGAGAGGAGCAGCAGGAGGAGGAAGAAGACGAGGAAGGAGACGAGGAAGGAGACGAGGAAGGAGACGAGGAAGGAGACGAGACGAAGACGAAGACGAAGACGAAGACGAAGACGAAGACGAAGACGAAGAAAGACGACGACGACGACGACGACGAAGATGACGATGACGAAGAAGATGAAGACGACGATGACAACGACGAAGAAGAAGAAGAAGAAGAAGAAGAAGAAGAAGAAGAAGAAGAAGAAGAAGAAGAAGAAGAAGAAGAAGAAGAAGGAGAGAGGAGCAGCAGGAGGAGGAAGAAGAAGAAGAAGACGAAGAAGAAGAAGAAGAAGGAGAGAAGAGCAGCAGGAGGAGGAAGAAGACGAGGAGGAAGGAGACGAGGAAGGAGACGAGGAGGAAGGAGACGAGGAGGAAGGAGACGAGGAAGGAGAAGAAGACGAGGAAGGAGAGGAAGACGACGAAGAAGAAGAAGACGACGAAGAAGAAGAAGAAGAAGAAGAAGAAGAAGAAGAAGAAGAAGAAGAAGAGTCGGCGTCGGCGCCGGAGAGGACGAGGAGGACGAGGAGCAGGACGAGGACGAAGACGAAGACGAAGACGAAGAAGAAGAGTATAGAGACGGAAGCAGAAGAGGGAAGGAAGAGGAAGAAGAAGAGTATAGAGACGGAAGCAGAAGAGAGGAGGAAGAGGAAGAAGAAGTGTATAGAGATGGAAGAAGACGAATAGGGGAAGAAGAAGAAGAAGAAGAAGAAGAAGAAGAAGAAGAAGAAAAAGAAAAAGAAAAAGAAAAAGACGGAAAAGGGAGGAGGAGAAGAAGAAGAAGAGGGAACGAAGACGAAGAGGGGAGGAAGAAGGGAGGGAGGAACAATGACGATGACGAGGAGGGGGAAGAAGACAAAGAACGAGGAGGAAAAAAGAGGAGGGGGGTACCAACCCAACGGCAATGGAGGCGGCGACCGCAGATGACGACCACGACGACAAGGAGCTCCGGCGGGCGATGGCGAAGACGACAAGGGCGAGGGCTCTAGCGGGCGGGCAAACGGGCGGGACTTCGATTTCGAATTTGGACTCCCCACTTCGTGAAGGGGCCGCACACACCTCTATCTCAGCTGTTGATCTGCAAGATCGACAGCTGAGATCATGTGACGGAAGAAAAAAAACGTTTTTTTTTCGGAAGTGCTCAGGATGTTCTCTAGGGGTGGGGGAACACACCCAGGCCGACAGCACTCGGAACCCCCGTCCCCTATTTTGTGCCACCTTGGCCCGGTACCAGCCCTGCCAACCCGCCCTACCCGCCTTCCAGGCGGGACCTGTGCGAGTCGGGGTCACCCGTGCCGCACGGCTGGTAGCCCAGCTTAGTTGAGGATTGTAGGATGATGGGATCTACAAGTTGACAAACAAAAGAATCGCATAAACTGGAAGATCACAGGAGTAGGGAAGCAGGAAAAGTAGCAGTAGCAGATGAGGTTTCACTGGGACATAAACCACCGAAACGTAGCAGTAGCAGATGACGTTTCAGTGGGACATAAACCACCCCTTCCATATCCAACAACTTGTGCCACATTTGTCATTACAAAAGCACTGGGACGCTGGACCCGATTGCCAAAAGGTGTTGCTCATACCACCAATGGATGGACCTACTTAGGCGGTTCCTCATACCACCAGTACTTTGACCCAGCTATAGGCCGCAGGAAAAAATAGAGTAGAAACGTTTCTAGTGGGATGAATTTGTGTGGCGCTTCTGTAGTGGCCCGTATGTTTCCCAAAGCCGCAGCGCGTTTACGGCCCCGACTTTAGGAAGTACCGGTGGTTTAAGATGGACCCTGCACCGAAGCTTTTCTTAAAAAGAAAGGGGGAGAGAGGGGTGGGGGGAGGGGGGAAAGGCAACGGAAAGGAGTATTTCCGTTCTTCTTCCTTTTCTTTTCTTTTTTGAAACATCACTAGAGCGCCTACTCATGGATTGTAGATGATTGGTTGGTTATAAGGATCCGTACCTCTGGGCCTGAGCCCTCCTCGGTGCACCTCCATGGATTCAAACGGACGACGTCGGCCTCAAGAGCCAAGTCTCTTAACCACTACAGCCAGGACACGGTGTCCAAATGTGAAATAAACCATATCGGCCATGATATCCACCCCACCCCTGCAAGGCTGTAGTGTCCAAACTCAACACAATACCCCACTCAACTCCACACGGTCGACACACGGACGACACATGGACGCATCGGCAATTCTCGCACACTCAGGTCCAACTGAGGACGTATCCTTTGCTCCAAAATCAATACACACCGTTTACCCAGTGCACCAGACTCTTTAAGCCACCAGTACTTGGCCCAGCTATCAGCCGTGGAAAAAAAATCGAGTAGAAATGTTTCTAGTCGGATGAATTTGGCCGCTCCTGTAGTGGCCCATGCATTTCCTAAAATTGTGGCCTGTTAACGGGCACGACTTTAGGCTTAAGCTACCCGGCAGTTCACGGGAGCCATCCACAGTTGGTTATATGAATCCGTACCTCTGGGCGTAAGCCCTCCTCCGTGTGCCTGCACAGATTCGAACCGGCGACCTCGACCTCAAGAGCCAAGTCTCTTAACCACTACACCCAGGACACTATGATCAAAAGGGGAACCATACCGGTCATGATATGAGCCACCTTGAAAAAAAAAAAAAAAAAAAAAAAAAAAAAAAAAAGGTTACGATCCACCTTCAGGAGTAGGCCCTCCCCTTTGTGATGACTCCCTGCCTATTGGATGGGAGCTGCACCTGCAGGAAAACGGGTCCAGCATATCTCTGACAGGAAAAATCAAACAGCTCCCCTCAAAAGAAAAGAAAAAAGGCAGTCTTCATCCCCCTCTTTCTGGCCGTCACCCAAACAATCTTCGACCCATGGATGGCCTCTTCCCCAGCAACCTTTATCTACGCTTTCGCCCCCTGCCCCCTGCCACAGAGGTCTCTGGCCTGAGGACCGCGAGCTTAGCCATACTCTGGACGAAACATGAGATGGCATGCTTTGGCTGGCGCCTTTGCCTGTGATCATCGCAACCGGCTGGAACAGATGTCGCAATAAGTGGGGGGTAGGAGTGGAAAGGAGGGGTGAGGAGTGGAAGGTGGAGGTTTCGAGGCCAGAGAGGGGGGAGAACACCATCACAGAGGTTGAGGTCGTAAGGGGGGAGACTCCGCTGGGTATGGGGAAAATGGGTTTGGGGGGGGGGGGGGGAAGGGGGGGTGGGGGGGGACGGAGCAGGGGAACAGAAGGCCTTGGGAAATGCAGGGCAGAAGGGAGGGAGGGCAATGGGGGCCAGTCACGTTCATTCTAGAATGCGATTGGGGGGGCCATATCTTGTAGGTTCCGCGGCAGAGTTAATATTAAAAAAAGACAGTCTACACAGTTTTCAACAAGCAACCCCCCCCCGGCACCTGCCACATCGGCAAGACCACAGTCGTCTACGGTCACCTGCAGCAATGCAAGTTCTCTCTCAGCATACATATCCATAACTCAGAGACATCCTCCTCAGCCTCCAGGGAGGGTTCCGTATTCGTATCGCAAATATGCTTCGAACGGACACAAAAGGAAAAGTTTCCACTCGCTCCCTTGCTGGGAAAAAGAAAAGCTGCCATACAAAAAAAAAAAAAAAAAAAAAGCCTGCCAAACAGCACATCCAACAGGATTGGGCATGCCTCAGCTGTCATTACCAATCGGGGCCATGGCGCAAGTGAACGCTGAGAAGGAAGCAGAGTTTTTCCACAAGCATTTCTGTTGCGAAATGCAATTCAACTAAGCATCTTCTTTTTATTATTTAGGTTCGATCCCGCGGACTGGCTGTGTGGTTTTCTCTGGGGGCCTTGCTCCACTGCACAACAGTCTAAATGTATCCACGGTCGGCAGTGCTCCTAATACATTCAAAATGTTGAAACAGTCCAAATGCACATAATACCTAGAACAGTCCAGATACGCATCAAATGTTGAGCAGTGGAGCAACGACCTCCGTCGATAAACGGGCCGTCATAAAGCCGAGAGAGAAGCTACGGTAGTAATCTCACCCTCAGCACTGGCACTCAATACCTGTGACACACTTGGTCACACAGCCAAGAATTCACATCAAGACGGAAAGACAGGCATGGATTTCCCCAGTTCTCTTTCTCTCATTTAATACTAAGTTTCATTACAGCCATCAACTCAATGAGAGAAATTTTCCACCTGAATGAAATGCAATCGCTCCACGGCAAGCCATTGAGCAGAACAACGTCGCAGTATTGCTTTGCCTCCCAAAGCAAATTCATCACAACATTCTGCGGCTTGCCAGATTCAGCCGGCAGGCAGCAAGCCTTGAACCCTCACCTTCTCAAGGACCCAGAAAGAATGTGTATACTTCTATCAGAAGCCGACTGATATATTTCGCTGTCTATGCTCCCACCTCATTTCATTTGGCTCTTCATATCACAATCCCTGTTTGCCCTGACCTGCGCAAGCACGCATGCAAATGCACACACACACACACACACACACACACACACCTCAGTCTTTGATTGTGGAGGTGAGAATCTAGTGGAAGGAGGTGCTGGGCACTTCCTGCTTAACTATGGAGATGCAGGGGGAAGCACTGTTTTCAAAAGCTTCACACAGCTTGGGAATTCAAAAGCTTCCTACAGTTTGGGAAATGGAATGGTTCTCTCTCTCTCTCTCTCTCTCTCTCTCTCTCTCTCTCTCTCTCTCTCTCTCTCTCTCTCTCTCTCTCTCTCTCTCCATATCTCTCTTGATATCTCTCTTGATATCTCTCTTGATATCTCTCTCGATCTGAGGAAAAACTGGACAGGAGTATACCTCCCCCTTTACTCTGGCTCCTTTCATAGCCTGCAAGTGGGCCATTATGGCACATGGGGGTCTGGTCAGCTTGCGCTCAACCACAATCAATGTAACAAGCCTTGTACGATTGAGGCACAGTAAAAGGGGAGCCGCAAGAAGGTAAAATAGGTACCCCAGGAAGCCAAATTAAAGATACCGAAGAAAGGACTGTACAAGGAAAGGCCAATATAACGGATTTATTGTGCTTCATGTTGTACTATAGGCTGAAGGGACAACTGTTTCAATGTTGGACTTGCTCACTTTTAGTCTGCTTCTGTGTGCTTCATTGTCTGCTACAGAATAAAACAGCTTCAATTTTCGATCTACTCATCTGGGTTGGAAAGGGGTTTTTGTGGTGACGATTCACAACACACACACACACACACACACACACACACACACACACACACACAACACACACACACACACACACACAACACACACAACACACACACACACACACACACACACACACACACACACACACACACACCAAGGAAGATATGAGTTAACATTCTTAGAGACTCTTGATCCCAGTTCCGTGGCTTCTTACCTTGCAAGCTCCAACTGACAAACTGATCTTCACAAGGCCATCAGTTGACATGGAGCTCTGGACACTTCTTGCCGCTCTGAGGCGATATTAATCACTTCGAGTTAAGGCAAGATCTTCAGTGTGGCGCTTGAGCTCTCTCTAAGCGCACACCTTCCAACTCCTCCTCTTCAATGGCTCCTACGTTTCATGCGTCTTTCAGATGGCTAGGATGGGACAGCCCCGTTTCTCCTACTCTCATTTCTTTTCGTCCCACCATCCACTCCTAATGCCTCTGCCAATGACCGGCGGACACTGATGAGGACTTCGAGAGGTGGGCGGAGATGCTGCGGCACAGAAATCAATCAAACAAACAGCCACACAACGTCAGCATCCCAACTACAGGGAAACATGAGCTCATAAATGCCAACTAATATTTGCTCACAAATGAAGTGAAAATGGACAGCACAGAATGGCCTACCATCTTCACCCGAATAGAACGCCCGGCCACAATCTCTGTATCTGGACCGCACGTAGCCCAGATACAGCCATCGTTACCGGGCTCTCTATTTGGGTGAAGACAGTAGCCATCCAGCTGGGTCTCGATACAAAGTCTGATACTTAAACCCTCGAGTGATTCCTGGGCATCCAGGTATCTTCTTCCTCAGGGCCTTCCCCGCTTTCTATGGCACCTGCTATTTTTGCCAAAATGATTTCTAAACCGGGCTCTCTCTTGGTCAGGCATCTGCGTTCACGGGCCTCGCTCCACTACGCAACACTCGACATGCACTTGGACGCTTTCTGGACCCCATACATTCGAAATATTGGACACGTCCGAATGCACCTGGTACAGAAAACGTCCAAATGCATGTAGAGTCTTGTGTAGTGGAACAAGGCCCTCTGTTTGCATTTGAACTTGGATATGTCATATCCACATGGCTTGCACTTGGGTCTGCGATTGCATTAGGATTAGATTTTATATTGCAACAAAAAAGACAAACGATTTTATATTTCCACATGGAGGCGGGTCAGTTTGACATGCTACCCATTCTTATCCACTCGAATTCCCATTTTCTCTCTCCTCCTCCTTTTCTTTTTCCTTTTTTTTTCCTTTTTCTCCTTTTTTTTCCTTTTTTTTCCTTTTTTCCCCTTTTTTTCCGTTTTTTTTCCTTCTTTTTTCCTTTTTTTTTCCCTTTTTTCTTTTTTTTTGAGCTGGGACACTGCACCCGGTTTCCAGCAGGTGTTGCTCCCCACCAATAGACCGGAGCTGTCCGTTGCGCCTCGATCCCGGTGGCGCATTTAACCCCCCCCGGGACCACAGGAGGCCACTCGATTTCTGTGTCTAAACGGAGACCAAACCCATAAAATATCAAAGGCATGAGGCATGTTTGCGACACCACAAGCTGTCCCCGCCTGAGCTCCAAAACGCAAACCCCACAAGACTCTCATTCACGACTCGAACAATCTAAGTTCGGCTATCAGCCCATGGGCCCACGTTGGGACATGAAACCAGGCCTGTGCCATGAACCCCCACCATGTCGCCCAGATTTGGCTATAGCCGTGCAAAAAGTTGGTCGAGTTCACTTCCACCAACCCTAAACCCTACAATCCTAGCAGACTGTGGGTCCAAACCCCTGACTGACACGAATGGCAGTACGTCTGAGAAACTAATCTGAGACAGCCATAAAACCCACTCTACCCACCCACTCAACCAGGGATATTGTTACATGCTGCGCCTGAAACGAGGTCCATTTTTGTGTCGTTTTCGGCCTAAAAGCCTGAAAACAAGGGCCTACAGGCCCTGTGTCGTTTCAGCCTAAAAGAGGGCCTTCCAGGCCCTGAGTCTTTTCAGCCTGAAACGGACGGCCATTTTCAGGCCCTCGTAAGATCGACCTGCCCTGAAACTTCGTCACCAGACCAGGGTTTTAGCACAGGCCATTTTGGGCCTGTTGTCAAGACAACCTTTGTTCGAGCTTCAACGCCAGGGTCTGGCACGTATTGGCATTGGCAAGAGCAGCCTCCTGGACGGGCCAGCACTATATAAGACTGTCCCGCCCTGCAGGCTGCAGGTAGTTCATAGGGACTTCCCAGGCACTTCACGTGCAGTTCAGGAGGCAGGAGGCAGGAGGTAGTCTTCAGGATTCGGAAGCAGCACTCTGGAGGAGCGCTGCAGTAGTAGTAGTAGCGTTAGCTGTAGTCTTCAGTGCTGGGCGCTAGTAGGAGCTAGAGTAGTACTGGAGAGAGAGAGAGAGAGATTGGGCGGAGGCCAGGGAGACTTACCTGCAGCACCATAGCTCCAGCTTCGTCTTCAAGGTACCTGCAGCACAGCACCATCTTCACAGGTTAGTACCTGGCACATGAGAGAGAGAGAGAGAGAGAGAGAGA